TATATAATATATATATATATATATATATAAATAATGACAAGAGAAGAAAACTATTACAAATATTTTTCAAAAGTATTTAAAAAAAAAACATTTTGATATAAAAAAAAAAGAAAATATTAAAAATCAGGAAAAAAAAACAAAGAAAAGATTTAATCTCTTAATCAGCCCACACGATTATATCCGCAAAAAGGAGTGCTTTCTAATATTGTATTAATATGGCCAAAGCAAAATATATCAATACAATAGTGTGAGGAGCACTCAAAAAATTTGAAACGAAATTAGAACACTTTAGAACACATTATTATCTACTATTAACTTACTTTCGTTTGCTTTTTGTTTCCATTTTTAGTTCGGTTTTGTTTTTATTGTGCTATATATATACATATATATATATGTATATACCGAAGAGCCATTACATTATGACCACCCTGTTAATAACATGTAGGACCACCTTTAGCCCTCAAAACTGCTAGCACCTGCAGTGACATTGATTCCATAAGGTGCTGATTGGCAGTCTGAGGTATCTGGTACCAAGTGCTCACCAACTGGTCCTGCAACTCCCTCACATTGCTAGGGGGTAGCGTGGCAGCACGAATTTGGTTTTTCAAGTAGGACCACAAATGCTCTATTGGATTAAGGTCAGGTGAATTTGGGGGCGAAGACATGATTTGAAAGTCATTGGAATGTTCCTCGACGATTCGACCCTTTTGACATGGTGCATTATCCTGTTGGTAAACACCATCCCCCGCAGGAAAAACTGTTGCCATGAATGGGTGAACCTGGTCTGCAACTATGTTCAAGTTGCTTACAGACGTCAATGATTGTTCTATGAGGATTATGGGTCCTTATGAGCCCCATGAAACATTGTTCCTGGGCGAGAAACCATGAAAACCTGGGCGAGGCTATTGTCATAGATGGAGGGTGGTCATAATGTAATGGCTCTTCGGTGTATATATATATTTAATACAACTCACTTTAAATCTTTTTTTTAATGGTTTTGATAATTCTCTGAAAAATGTATGCATGAAAATTGAGCCTTAGTTCAAATGTAGTCAGCTAAAAGAGCTTAGAGTATTTACTCATATATATACAATTGGTGTTATTTAGGAGCCTTTTTCGATTAACTTAGATCCCTTACAATTTTATTCCTCTTTAAGGTTAGTCAGTACAGAGTATAGCATAATGGGATTTGCTTCTTAACTGACTTTAAATATTAATTTACAAAGTATAGTTTATAAAATAAAAATCAAATTTGACTTTAAAAAAAATATATATTTACATATTTCATATTTAAAATAAACTTTCTGCTTAAAACGATTTTTTTTATTAAGTTGGAATTAACTTCCCTTGTTAATTATGAATTGAAATTTAGTAGACTTTAATTATAATTAAAGTCTAAACATTTAACATCGTAAGTTAAAAAATAAAAAACATTTTAAGTTATTTACTTCAGATTATATTTATAGGTTAAAATCAGTTTCATTATGATTATACTTGTTTTTTTTTAAAAACAACAATAGTTTAAAAAATTAATTTTATTACTTTTTCACACTTACATCTTTACTTACTTTTTACTAAAGATCCAAATTATAATTATGGTTCTAAATTGATTTAACTTAAAATTGGTTCTGCGCTTTCAAATAAATCAAATTGAATAATAATTGTCATATGTATTGATTGGCTTTCAAAATATCTTTTACAGTATAATGAAATTCTCTATTACAAATTAGTACTTTAATTAAAATATACCAATATTTTATCTCCTGTAAGGCACATATTGAAATCGGTTTGAAAGCAGTTTTAGATATATTGTTCTGAATTGTGATAAAGGACCATTTAATAAATTATCTAATTTGTCTACATTAGCCCCATACGTATTCGACATTTGCCATGTGTAGTAAGGCTAATGTAGACAAAAACAGCCTTATTTAAAAAAAAGTATTATTGAAAAATTAATAACTTTGTTATTTAAAAAAAATATTTTCGAAGTCATTGTAAATATTTTTTTTAAATTACAAGGCAATTTAAAAAAGATATAAATCAGAGTTAAAAAGAAGTATCACGAGTTAAAAATTATGTTAAATATGTTTTTTTTGTCATATTTATAAAAATTATCCACACTAGCCCACCACTCCCTTTATGCCCCGACCATAAATCGGTCATTAAATTTTTAAATTCGCATGACATTAAGTAATCTTAAATTTTTCACATCAATACTTAATGATACTGTTTGTGTGGTATATGTACTCTTTACTCTCTTTATTGTTGCTTTTATGCTGGTTCCTATTCTCCAAGATAAATAAATAAATAAATATATATATATANTCAATATTTACATAATTTTACCGATAACGTTTTTTAAAATCAAATTTTTTCAAGTTTAATCACAATTTCATAACAGTTGAATAAACTATTATTAGAGCTAAAACACTAGTAGCCTTTACAACATAAATTTGAAGTTCCAATTCCTTTTTTACGATTTAAATTTACTTTTACAATATTACAATTTCAAATAAAATATCTTACATTTAGTGGGAAATGTACAGCAATGTTACAAATTAGTACTATTTAAATCTATTTCTCATGTATTTTTATTGTTCGTAATGAAGTTATATTCAATTCCCATTGTCCCTTTCTTCCCTAAGAGCTCAACAAAGTTCATAAATCTAGAGTTCAAAACTCAGACGAAAAAAAATGACACTTTATATATATATATATATATATTAACAGATAATTTACTGATGCGCGATGGAATTCTATACCTTTTAGAGTATGAGCATTGCAAATAAATACAATGTGATTTTAAACTGAGATTATTCCTACAGTTTAAAAATTTATAATGACATTTGCGTTTTAAAATACATTAGTGTATTTGTAAATTGATTAACCTTAAGACTATTATGACTCACAAACTCATAATAAATCCATATAAAATTTTATTTTCGAATATATAACTAAAAATTGAGTCGTACAAATTTTCTTTCTTACTTTATTCTTAATAGTTAGTGATATATGCCAGACGAAATAAATATTTACTGTTTTATGTACATGGATATAAAATAATCATCAATCGTTACAGTAAATTATAAAGATCGGTAAACGTTTTGCGCTACTGATTCTAATTTTTATAAATACTTCCTTTTGTATTATGTTTTCAAACACTTCTTGCTTAGTAAAAATGATCGAAATTAAAGTTGGCGCTTTTAGAAAGTTCGATAAATAGGAGTTTGAAAAACTAATAAAAAGAGCCATCAAATTTGCGCAAGTTGCGGAAAAAACAGTTTATAAATGAGTTTAGATAAATTACTGCTTCAGGTCACGTTTTTCTGGAGTATTTCAAATTCTTTTAACGAAAATGATGCATTGGATAAGGTTACACGACATCAGAGAAGTTTTATTTCTAAGAAAGTTGAAGTACACAATTTTGTAAGAATGAGTTACAAATTTTTTTATTAATGTGTTTCATTATTCTTATTTTAGGTGCCTTTCTCATTCCTTTCATTTGTATGATGTTGTTAGCTGGTCTACCACTCATGTTCATGGAACTCTCATTTGGCCAGTACGCTAGTCTAGGACCTATCGCCATATTTGATAGGTTCTGTCCATTATTCACTGGTAAAGATCTCTTTTTTGGCCTCCCAACAGCAATTTTAAGAATTTGCATTCTAATCAACTTATATAGGTAATTTTAACCCTTTCGTGGGACTAGGAAAACTTACTTCCCGTATACCATCTACTTCACACTTACTACATATAAGTATACCAGAGGAAAACGCAAAATTAATTATAATACAATATTGGTTTTGTTATTACAACTATAGGAACTCTTAGCCTCGCTTCAGTTTTGTGCTGCCATCTATTGTTCAATCAATTAAATAGAATTAGCAAATTTGTCTTGAAAGCTAGAATGACTTGCTTGAGATTTGTTCTATAATGGCACATGTATGACGTGGCGTAAAATTTACTAAAATTAAATTTGTTTCCTTAAAAGTTATCGATTAATTGTTAATAAAACATTAAAAAAACTGGTTGAAATTCAAAAGAAATATAAATAGCCTAAGAAAAATCGAAAAATTGTTTTAATTTGTTCTGAATTCCCAACATTTGGGAATAGTCTGAAAATGCAATGTCTCAAAATTTATGTTTTCACACTTACAAAGCGAAAAACTAACTTTTTATGCCACTAGGAGTAGGTTGAAAACGTTGTGTGCAAGTCTAAGGGAAAAAAATTAATAACATTTCACAAACGCTGTTTTTCATGCTGAGAAGGTATGGTAATGTACAGTAAACATTGAGAGCATAGCGTCATGATATCATTCTTATATGCAATTTTTAATTTTTTTTTTAACTAGGCATTGCTTATAACACCATCTAATATTCACACTTAGTTAATGTAACGTCTTCTCCATTCTGCTTAAATTCACTGATTCCGGTCATTGGGTCATTCTCTAAGTTTAATTCAAGCAATAGAGTCTTTTTTCTAAAAATTGCCTTAGTCAGAGTATGTGAAAAAATTTTCCACAGCTATTAAACTATTTTTTTTAAAAAAAAACAATATTCTCAAGAAAAGACATTTCTGCAATCGTGGCTTAAAGAATTAAATTAAATACGCATACGTTTTTCACATTTGTATTGAACTGACCTCTGTATATTGAAATTCTATCAGTGCATCGCACCCAGAATTCTTAATTATTATTAGTTTTCTTCAATCTTCATTAGGTTTAAAATTAAAAAAGATATGGATTCGAAAGATTTGTAAAGATGATATGGATAAAGATATGGATATGGATAAAAAAATATGGATAACTTTAAAAAGCTGCATAGAGAAACCAACAGAACTATCATATATCATTCATGTATATCCAGTAAAGATAGAAAAACAGAAATAGAAAATACGTGATTTTACGTAATGACCCTCGTAACGATTTTACGTAATGACCTAATGATATTTCGGATTGTCCCTATTTTTAAAATTCTTGTCAAAAGCAAGGGGAAAAACATAAACACTGTATAAATTTGTTAAATAAACACTGAGGTAATAAAAAATCAAATTTTCTTTCTCGTTTATACATATTAAAAACTGCAATCCATATTGCGTTTTTCTTTACTTTAATTTACAAAAAGAGTTTTAAAATCTACGCAAATTATGTCTTTGAAGAGAACCTTGAATAAAAACAAATACCAACACGATCAACTTTATCGTATCCCTAACCTCTGACTTAATAATATTTTTTTTTCAATTTTATTCTTTTTGAATCTATTTTCTTATTTTATATGAATTTTATTGCATTTTCTTCGTTTTTGGTTTTAGGTCTCGGATACGGCATGGTAATAGTATCCGGAACTGTTATGTTGTATTATAACATGATCATCGCATGGACAATCTTCTACATGTTCGCATCATGGAACAGTCGACTTCCTTGGGATAACTGCGCACCAGAATGGAGCACATCAGGTCAGAATATATCTCAATAAAAACAATTTCAAACAATACTAACAATATATCTAATATATGTAATTCTCTTACGTGACTCCCAAATTCTGGCTGTATTTCCTTTCCTCCGGTGGCAACGTTTGTTTTGCTTACATTACTATTTCTCTTACACGGTGACAAAAAAGAAGCCTCATTACAACTCCCCGAATGGCAACGTTAGAAAATCGACCAATGATTGCTGCTAAAAATGTNGCTTTGTTTTGTTTACGTTACTATTTCTCTTACACGGCGACAAAAAAGAAGCCTCATTACAACTCCCCAAATGGCAACGCTAGAAAATCGACCAATGGTTGCCTCTAAAAATGTCACATGCCAAATCTAGCTGAGGTGGCTCAACGTATAGCGCTTTTAAAAACGGAAACTGAAATAACCAGAGAGCATCAGCTGCGGTAATCTCATACTATTAAGCTAGGCAGAAGTGAGTAGTCTTTGTCGATAGATCTCTATTTTAGTACTTTGTCGAAAGCGCTTATTTTCACAAATTTATATATTACGAATTTATTTGACGATTTTTGATTTATATCACGAATTTATTTGTTTTACTATTGTTATTAGTTATTCATTGAAAAATGAGTCTCAGTCGTGCTGTTACGCTTTAAGATTTTATACTATAGCACATTTCTAATAGGTTTAACGAATTACATGTCATTTATTTGAATTCAAATTTATTTTAATGACTTAGCATTTACTAAAAAGATGCAATTTTTTTTTAAAAAAAAAGTTTTTATATGGATTTGAATGATTGTTTTGATTCTTAGAATTTTGCGCATTTGCAATGTACCTAAGTCAGTAGCGAGGGAAGCAAGCCTGGTTTGCGAAGCAAACCATATAAGATTGCGTAGCAATTTTCGGGGTTTGGGGAGCGTTAGCGAGCAGGGGGCGCAGCCCACTAGTATATAGAAATGCAAAATATTACAATTGTGTATACTTACTTCGGGCAGCTCCTTAATAATAATTAACACCAAAAGGACTTGATACAGATCAGAATTTAATGACCTATCGACGTTAACATCAAATTACACAAAAATTTTTGATTAAGAAAAGATATCTATATGGTTTTGAAACTAAAATTTCTGTTAGGTATAAAAGTAATTCTATGAAACCTCTAACGCAAAAAAGAGTATAATCATGCCCATTTATCTATAAGCATTTAAACTTCAATTCTGAAAGAAATTCGGCCTCTTAGGAGATAATAAAAATCGTTTTTGTTCTGATCATTATTATTGTCTTATTTGAAATACAGAAAAATGATTAAATTAAAATAAATACAAGCAAAATAACTAACTGTTGCTTAAATTACTGATAAAGCCATTTAGGATATTCACATTACCAAAATATTTTTTCTGATATAAATCAATTTAATCACGTTAATTTGCTTACGAATAGTTTCACAAATTCTATTCATGAATGTGCGTTTCTTTTTTTTTTTAAGAAAAAGAGAGAAGAAAATGACTTTCTATTGTTGTTTCTGGTGCACATTCTTACTTACCTTTCAGGCGTAGGTCGTTATTCCATAGTTCAAGCACTGATGAAAATTTTTCTATTAAAAAACTCAAGAGATCAAAAATTAATGATGACAGTTATAATGTTGGAGTTTCATAAGGCGTATCAATTCTTTGTAAGGATACTGTGCGTGAGAAAATCGCACACATACAACAGAAGTCGGAAATTCGTCACAGAGGATGCCTTCCTTTCTCCGAGATTCAAACTACAATTATTTCAGTTTTTCCATCTGAAAACTTTTAAAATGAAAATTCCAGACGAAAGTAATAAAATCCGAATTGAATGAAACAATTGGCTTCTTAATGTAGGATACCGTTTGACGTTTTTGTAGCTCGCCATTTATATAAGAATATTCTACGCCACAGTTACTTTAGTAGTTTCTAGTCATGTCGTGGATATCGGTAGTAATAATCTTAATTCATAGTGGACTTATTTTTGCATCTGGTATTCCATATGCTTCTAAGCGCAATGAGAAAAGGGTTGTTCTAGTCGGCAGTGGTCCTCTTCCACAGTACTTGCTACAAAGTGGCTATGAAATACTGCCAATATATGATGGCCTGCGGAATCTGAATATACTAAGAGCCAGGAAGCGAATGGATGAAACGAAAAGCCGGAATCCAAAGAGAATTTTTTCAGGTAAAACAGCTCCATATGCCAGTGTTAGCAGAAAGAAAAATATTCGTAGGAAGTCTGATGCTCCAGCTGTAAGTAGGCCTTTAAATCTGCAGAATCGTTTAACCGCGTCATTCCCTGCCGGTAAGACAACAGCAATAACATTGAAACCTATTCCGATTAAGGATGGCAAAGTTGGAATTCCTATAATTACGCCAAATGAAATAGTGATAAGATCTCCTCAGATTAATGTCAAAAGTAACGAAAGTCCATCCTCGTTTTCACCCTCAAGTCCTGCAACAAATGCGAAGAAATCACTTATAATCACTTCCAAGCCTCAAAACGATGTGAAAACTTCAACCTTTCCCCCTACCAAGCTTGTACCACCAAGCAGTACACCTCCGTTCAAAAATGCTGATAAAAACTCTTTTGTACCTTCTCAACGTTACCAGCTCGAAGCAGGAGTATCTCAATCCGATCGAAAGGATCTGCAGTTGCTAAACTCCTTTAAAAACAATCAGCAAATATTGAAACAGTTACAGTTACTACCTAACGCAAATACAGGTGTTAGTGTGGAAGCTACTGCACAACCTTACAAAATCAGCACCTTAACAGTGTTCCCGCTCTCTGATCAAAGAGATCCGCAAATGATAAACAATGCTAAAAATAATCCGCAAATGGTAAACAAAGCTAAAAATAATCAGCAAATGGCAAACAAAGCTAAAAATAATCAGCAAATGGTAAACAAAGCTAAAAATAATCCGCAAGTAATGAAGCAGCTATCGTCTCGGCCAATAGAAACTGGTATAAAAAGTTCTTCTACTGCCTCAAACACAATCAGCACTGACAGCCCTTCTGATTTCAGCAATGACTTTGTAAATGTTGCTGCACCACTAACTGTTGTGTACAAGAAGCCTACGATAGAAATTTTAAAATCATCACAGGAAGTTTATCAGAATGCAGAACCATACGCATATGGCTATGAAACTGGAGATGGGCTTGGTACAACTCAATATCGTCAAGAATCTACTATAGGGGATGGAATTGTAAAAGGTAACTATGGTTACAAGGACTATAAAGGACTTTTTAGGCAAGTAAACTATATAGCTGATAAAGGTGGTTTTCATGCTGTAGTAAAATCTAATGAACCAGGAATTGGTTATGCAGATAGCGCTGACGTTAAAGTTTTAGCCGATTATTCTCCATCTTAGTTTCTGGAAGCTACTCAGTTACTTTTAAGATTTATTCTATTTATATAAAAAATAAGTCATTGTCTTTCAATTGACGCATTTGGAATAAAAAGAATATCTCAGAAATTGCAGAATGCTTATTTATTGATGCTAAGTGAATAACTTATTCTGTATAGTATTCCGTATAGTTAAGTGGATAACTTATTCCATATAGTTTTTTTTTACATACTTGCAGTAACATTTATCTGTCACATTTTGCAGTGAACAAGAGATTCTGATATCAGAAAAAGCATGAGATCTAATTGTGAGATAAGTATCTATAAACGATTTTAAAAAAATCTTAATTTTTAAGCATTACCCTTATGATTGACATTTAATTTGGATAACTTTATTAAAAGGCAATTTAAATGCTAAAATATTCTGCAGAATTTAAAGAGATTTTAAACCGTTTGTTTTGAAGTTATTGTTAGGTGGAAAGTTGCGTTTTGTGTTTAGACTAATTTAAATGTCTATAAGGTAACATTTAAAACTGAAACTAATTCCTCATTTTTTTAGTGTGACCTAAATACTTGTATAACCTAAATACAAATAATATCATTTCAAAATAAAAATAGGGAATATTTTATTCATTTTTCTTATTATTTGGTGTTCTATCCGTAAATTATCATAAATTATGTTTATATCTGTATAAGATAATTTCATTATCTGTAATTTTATCTTTAAAAATTTTTTAGTAATTTATATTTTTGTACTAACTGCTTAACTTATAACACTATTTTTTAAGTACTTGAAAATGTTCTTAGATATTTTAAATAAATGTTTAATTTGTATTTCATGTATCCTGAATTATATTATTTCTGACGGAATAGCAAAAGAAAGATTTTTACTCTTGAGTTATTTTACATTTTTCTTATGTGTTCATTCAAATTAAAAAATTTCAATTTTAAGTCGATATGATTGCATGTCCTTTGTAATTTAGAAAATATTTTTTAGATTAGAAAAGCATTAAATTCATTTCTAAAGAATGTCACTGCAAATATAATAAGAAACTACAATAGTGTCTACGATTTTTAAATAAAAAATAAAATTTTATATTTATTTTTAAATAAACATATATTTTTATGATAATTTTATGGATCGTAAAATGATATCTAAAATTTATCACTTTTAATATATTTTACTGTAATTCTGCAGCATTTTTTAAACAGTGCTCAAATTGTACTGACATTATTTATGCGTAATATAAAAGGATTGAGTAAAAAAAAAATCCATCATTTTCAAAATAAATCATTTCAGAATCAAATTTATTAAAAAAAAAAGGAGAAAATAACCTTTCCAAATAATTGTGACATCTCTTTTACTTTATTTTCAAAACTTGACTCTAATATATATAGATATTTATATTTCTAATTAATATAAGCTGAAAGCATTTGTAAAATATCTTCAAAATAATCAAACATTTTCAAAATTAAACTTATTTTAAACTCAGGCAAAGTAATTTTTCAGTGATAAATGTTTTTAATTTGCATAGTGTTTAAAAGCAACTACTCATTTCTGGAAAAACAATTTCTGGTTCAAGTTGCGGTATAACGTACCGGGACTTTGGTGCATCACTTGTTGTGTGGCTCGAAACTAAAATAGGCATATTTTTAAACTTGAAAACGATTTTGTAGATAGCTGCTCTAGTAAGAAAATTCTGGTGCAAGTTACGTATAAAGTATCAGCACTTGGGTGCATCACTCGTTGCGTGGCACGAAACTAAAATAAGCATATTTTTAACTTGAAAACGATTTTGTAGATAGCTGCTCTAGTAAAAAAATTCTGGTGCAAGTTACGTATAAAGTATCAGTACTTGGGTGCATCACACATAAAATCTATTTCATCGTAAAATATTATACCTTAATTTTTGCTACATTATTGAATTAGTTATAGAAATTAAACGATTTTATTTTAATTATTGCTGTACTATAGTGTATTAGACTAGGTATTTGTACTGGTAAAAATATATTATATGGTGAAAAGTATCGGCACCGTAAGTGCCGATTCTTTATACCGTAATTTTACCTGGAATTTTTTACATCGTAGATATTTTCATAATGAAGTTTTATAGAGCGAACATTATATTTTTCATATTATTGGCTGCAGAGAAGTATTATTTTTTACCTATTCATACAATAAATTCAATTTACTAAGTCAATATTCATACATAAAAGGTAAATAAATACATACGTTGAAACATTAAATCATTCAGTCAAGTTGAAAAAGAGCACAAGGCAGGTGAAAGCAAATTTGTTTTACATATTAGAAATAAGACATAAATAAAATCTTAATAATTAAAATTAAAATATAAATAAAATCTTAATGATTAAAATTAAAACACACATTTATATTTTAATTATTAAGATTTTATTTATGTCTTATTTCTATTATTTTTTACCATAATAGTACATCTCTGATATTTACATATTATACTTATCAATAAATGAAATCCCTTTTTACGTGGAATTAGTAAATATGCAAAGCTTCTACAAGCATCCGAAATGTCAAACTATAGAAAATCCTGAAATAAAACTTTGTATTGTTTTTTATCGGTAACTTTCAGCGAGGTTGCGTTGTTACCACACTGTAAAAAATTCCGATTCAAATTACGGTAACAAATACAAGCACTCGGGGTACCCTTTCTGTTTTTACCGTTAAATCCATGTTTACCATAAAATTTATAGAAAAAAACAAAAGCATGATATATCGTAATTTTTACTGCAAAATCACTGACTCTCTTAAATGAAATAAATATGACGTGTAAAAATTATGATATAAAATTCGACGATAAAAGTGGATTTTTCGTTAAAATTAATTTTACGGATGATGAACCCAGAGTGCCAGTACGTTTCATCGTAGTTTGATCCGAACTTTTTTACAGTTTTTTGAATCAGTATTCAACCAAATTACACAAAAATTTGACTGAATAGGTGTAGAATAAAAGAAATAAGTGAATCGTTATATAAATCAATGAATTATTGAATAAGCGAGTTAATGAATTAGGATAAAACAGGAAATCAATGTTGAATGAATAAATAAAAAAATGAATTGAAACATATACCAATTAATGAATCGAATCGTTAATATAAAAATAACACCACAGGTTGCTTTAGATTACCTTACTCTCTCTTAAATGTAGTTTTTATACGACTTATTTCAATATCTAAATCGGTATTACGTAACTTTAGAGAGAAATGTGAAAAAAAAATTCTGGAATCAAGTGGAAAACTGCTCTTCAAATTTTTACACACTATCTTACGAGGTGTTTGGCGTACTTGTGAAACAATCAATTTTAAATATTCTGTTGATGTCATTAAGAATTAAATTTTAATTATTTAGTTAAATATGCACCTTTACTTGTCAATTTTAAACAGTATTTTACATGCGTTGTTTTAAGGATTGCTTAAATTATATACTATAAATTATATAATATAAATTAAATTATATAAAATGAATGAATATAAATTATAATATAAATTATATAATTAAATTATATTAAGTTATATTATATTAAATTATATTATATTAAATTATATAGAATAGTAGACTCCGCTCGCTGACCCTCGTAATCGCTTCTCATTCATCGCTGTTTCTTTCCCATTAAACATCGATATTTTCCACGAAAGCACAGAATATTTTTTTTTCAAAATATGGAATCATTGTAACTTTGTGTAAGAACGTTTCTTTAACATGTTAATCATAACGAAATGGGTGATTACCTGGATTTGAAAAATAATCATCTGAATGATAAAAAATTAACCTAAAGAACACGAAGTGTGACTAAATAATAAGACATGAATGAAAAGTAATTTTATTCATTGAGGAAACTTACATGTCAAATAGCAAAAGGTGCTTCTCGCTTCTATATTTTCATTATCTTTTATTTTTAAAAAAATCACTATAAATGTTAAGATTTATATCTGGCAACACGTAATCTCTTTCTCTCTTCTCTTGCAACTTTTGATTGACGTTTACTCAAGCGTACGTTTATAAAATAAAGATAATAAAGATCGCGTGGGAACTTGTGAGAAAAATAATTTTTCAGCAACCATTGGTAAAGCAAAAGTAGCGGAAAATAAATCACGAAAAAGTTCTTAAATTTGCAATAACTTTCGAACTAATTAGAATTTCAAAGCAAATTTTGCGTCAAAATAGTCAGTCGTAATAGAAATTACGTCGTAATAGAAATTGTTTCGAAATAGTTTTTCCAGAGTTTCCTGTATTAAAAAGAATTAAAAACGCAAATTTTGTCTTAAAAAAGAGAAAATTATTCCCAAGAGACTCAGAAAATTTCCGTAAATTACTCCCCGGTCGAAAACCACCTACTAATACACTATCAGGGAAAATGTAATCCAATTAGATAACCGCAACTTTTTTACCACGGGCATTTAAACCTTGTTCGAAGCCACGGTTCGAAAACCACCCACTGCAGCAAATTTGAAACTACTTACACTTCATATAAGTTTTAATACATTGATATTTCTGAATCATTCAATACATTTTATTTTTATTTTATAACCGTCGTTGAACAGCCGACCCAAGTTCATGGGTTTACGACTACTAACGTTCAACTCCGTAGCTTTGTAATTTTGAACCAATCCAGAAGACAAGGAAACTCCTGGATCAGTACCCCCAGAGGTATTGATTTGTTGTGGGAACATGGAGGACTTTGAGACTCGACAGATTTAACGTGCATCAGTCACCATTTACT